TATGTATACACTAAAGCCCCCGAACATTCCACCAGAATGACGTGCACTTTCAGGAAAAATCGTTTAATTAAACCGTTTTATACATTTGTCTTCAAGGCGTAGACAGCATTTGTGCAACATACCTTCGCAAGCGATTCCAGGCGTCAACCGCGAAAAAAAACAAAACGCGCACACATTTAAGATGATTAGTCCTGGCATATTTTTAACTTGAACATTAATTGTCATATATCTGAGCGGAAAAAAGGTACTCTCCGAGTAAAAATCTTTGCAAGGCTGCATATCTATGCCTAAAATATCCTTGTGTTCATAAAAGTACTTACTAGAACTCTAGAAGGTTCTAGAAGCCTGAGAGATAATTCTCTTAATGAGATTACGTCAATATCATATCATACAGTGCGTGAGTAAAGCTTTCTAGAAGAAACTTCCACAATTCTAGAAGGTTGTGGAAGCCTTTGAAATAACTCTTTTTGATAAAATTACATTATAAATTACATTATCTATTAGCAAGTTCTCTGCAGTTCTTAAAATGACAACAAAAAGTTCTAGTATCTACGTAAAATCGCTTCCTCAAAGAAACTGTCATAATTCTGTGTTAGAAGGTTCTGGAAGCCTACAATTATAATAGGATTACATCATGATTATATTATTTATTAGCCAGACCTCAGCAGTTATTAAAATGACGACATGAAGGCTTAGTCTTTACAACACATGACGATTTTAATCGTATCGTTCTAAAAATTTCGCTTTGAAAACTTAGAGAACATCTCTCGTATATTGGCTCGTTTGGGCGTGCAAATTACTGCGACGCTTCCAGATTTTATCTTCATTTTCCCCCTACTGTTACCGAATATCAGTACAACTGCTGGAAACTGGCGCAATCTTTTCTATACATTGTCGCCTGTAAGCATTCGATCATAAGACAAGAGATAAACACCTTCTTTCTTGATTCCAACCAAAATCCTGCGCTGGTTATTACACCAATAAACCGATGGATAGCCCAGTCTATTGCTTTTATAAAATAACCACGGGTTTACCTGTACAGTAAACGATAGGTTTTTGACAAGAGATTACCAGTTCTTGCATAATGGAGAACAAACAGTATTCCTGAATTTTTCAAACACCGTGACAAACTGCACTCGACTTTCCTTCCATCTCAGGCAATTTTTTTGGCCTTTATGAAAATATTTTACTCCTCCGAATAGCACCCGAAATCGTGTGATTTCGTTCTCTAATAATATACATGCACAAATGTCAGCATACCCATTGGCTAATAGCTCGTCAGTTATAGCCAAGCAATGCAGCAAGTTGAATCTAAGAGTAGAAGTGCAATACTCAAAATAATGTCTATCATTATGAAGTACTCAAATCATTTGGAGTGAAATTTAGAATACATAAGCTCCAATGCAATTGCCCTGGCCTGACATAAGTGTCTAGTCCCTGCCAAGGAACCCACCAGACACCTTAACTTAACTCGTCCTAAATGACTTGTCACGCAATTTGAAACCCCTATGTGATGTAAGGCCAAATTGCCTCTTTCTCATGTCGGTAGTGCGACTTCCCTTGACATGAAGGAAACGTTTTTTAAAAAGTCAAGCCAACCAAAAAATTTGTATTCTATGAACCAGCTAGCTCGATCCAGTCTTGAATAATCATCCAGTACTCTTTAGAACCTAGAAGTGTACGAGTCGGCAGCTTGACCTTGGCCGTCGACTATTTCGCTCAGTATTTTCTCCTCCCAATCTTGTTTCTTCTTATGTTTGTCAAAGTCCAACATTTTTTTATTTCTCAGAGCAGCCGGTAGTTGCTTTTTCTTCAAGTTGTTAATCATCACAAGAATTAGCGACGAATCTCCCGAGTCTATTCCCCTCTGGACAGCCATGTGCAGCTCCTCCCGGCAGAAATTACTGGCAAGGTAATTCTGGGATAAAACGATCAAAACCTGACGGCTGCCATACACATTGTCCGCCATGTTTTGGACTATCGGCTTTCCAAGCTCAAAGTCCCGGCTATGAATGCTGTAAGCTATCGAGTGCTTCTCAAAAATTGAAATGAGGTTCTCATTAGTCCACGCCAAATCTTTTGAACTGAAGCTGATAAACAGTCGATTTAGGGTGGCTGCTTCCTTTAAGCCATCTGTCAGAGGTAAGAAAAAAAGCTATTGGAACACCATTCCTTTCCTTGTTACAATTTGAAAGCCAAGGCGGTTAGTCACTCTATGAATCGGTGCATCGGTCACTTAGTCAGTCAGCCAGACAGCTATTTAGTCATTCAGTCAGTCAGACAGCCAGTCGGTCAGTCAGGCAGTTAGTCAGTCAGTCAGTCAGTCGTCAGTCAGTCAGTCTGTCTGTCTGTCAGGCAGGCAGTCGGTCAGTCGACCAGTCAGTCAATCAGTCATACAGTCAGTCAGTCGGTCAGCCAGTCAGTCTGTCAGGCGTCCAGTCATTCATGCAGTCAGTTAGTCAGTCAGTCGGGCAGACAGTCGGTCAATCAATGTGTCAGTTACTTAATCAGTCAGCCATTCAGTAATTCAGTCAGTCAGTAGTAGATCAGCCAGCTGATCGGTTAGCCAGTAATTATGTCAGTCAGTTAATAGATAGTCAGTCAGTTAAGTGATCAGTGAGCCATTCAGCCAGTGTGTCAGTCATAAAGTCGGTCATTCGGCCAGTCGGTTCACCAACTATTTTGTTAATCAAATGGAGAGTCAGTTGGTCGGTCGGTCGATGTTCACTGAAGCTAAATCTCATCCTAAAATAGTCCAGCTAAAACCGCTAAATGTCACGTTTGAGCCTATGGTGCACCTGTACCGTTGGATTTTTCCGGCAACACGAACCAGTAAATATGATGTCTGCAACTTACATTTTCCCAATTTAAAAGTTGACGAACTCTTTTTCTTGACTAAAAGTCGCACCAACGACATGATGATCACAGTGAGAGTTGCTGCTGAAATAATGATGACTGGTAGAAGCCAGTTCTTTGTACCTCCTGCAGATTTAAACAAAAAAGTTTGAAATTCATGATTCAGCGTAGAGGGATTTAAAATGTGACTTGAAAATACTGAAAAACACTAACCAGAAGGGAAGTGAGACGACGGCTTTGCTGTGAATTTAGTTGATTTATTTGCAATGGTCGTGTTCAGTATTGGTGGATCTGAAAATGAACATGTAAGATTCTCTGTGGTCAAACAAGCATGGACAGGAGGGAGATAGGGAGGTAAAGAGGTGGGCAAGGAAGGTGGGAAATGGGAAGATAGGTAGAGGGGAGGGAAGTAGAGAAGTGGGTCGGGAGGGAAGAGGGCAAGTTGGTAGAAGGGACAGAAGGATCTGGGGATGAGGAAAGAGGGAGGACGAGTTGTAGGGAGAAACTTTTATAAGACATTAAAACAATCTACGAAAGTGGGGGTGAAGGTAGGGAGTGAGGTAAGGTTATGGGTAAATTTGTAGGAATTGTTCTAAAATCTGGAGTTTAAAAGATGATAATAAGATGTAAGTACATATAAGGGAGGGAGAGAATAACGAGGAGAGAGAGGCAGTTGAGTCATAGGTAGCTGGGTAAGTTAGTAGTTGGTTGACTTGTACTTTCAGTAGGCAGTCTGCTAAAACAGGAAGATAACAGACAAATAGACTTGTCACCAACCGAATAGAAGACCCTGACGTGGAAGATTCAAAACCACACTTTTGTTCATTATATATATTGGTTATGTTGCGACCTCCCTGCCGAGGTCAGTCCCTTGGATTAGCTAAACTAAATACTTGCAAAACAGTTACGAATTTAAGAACTGACTTACCTGGAGGGGGGAGTTTTAAATCTATGAAAGCTGTTAAGTTGGAGTGATATTCGCAAGTCCAAATGCAGCTGTAATTTCCTTCGTCATTTTCAGTAACGTTCAGAATGGACAAAACGGAGACTTCTTCACATTTATTTTTAACTTGTTTTTCTTGTATTCGGTACTTTGCGCTTTTTTCCAAAAGCTTTTTTTCTTTTCCTTCTCGATACCATAATATTTGATGGGGACAATCCTCATTCTGCTCATATAGGCAAGTTAGCTTAATAGTAGAAAATTTCAATTTCGATGCGGAAATGATTGGGTGATGTAGAATTTGAATAGGACCTAAGAAGGAGATAGTAATAATAATAATAATAATGAAGCATTTATAGAGAGCACTCTACATATGAATATGTTCTAATGCACTAAATAACACTTTATGGAGAGCTTTGACCAGGCTGCTTTAAGCAGTTTACCGAAATTCTTTTAAAGGGAATTTCGCAGATGACCCCAATTTAGGAATCTTTGGAAACAAAGCCAGATCCATAACACCGGGAGCTACGTCACCTACTGTTTGTGAGAAATGCGTGGGTTCTTGACCGTCCCCTGCAAACCAATAGAGAAGAAGATACAGGAGACGGGCCTACGGTTTTTATCCTTACCCGAGAAGACTAGATCGTCATACCAAAGGCAACACATTCTCCTCAGTTGTTTTAAGATCCTGAGTGTTGGTCCGCACGGCAGTTCGGCGGTCTATATAGATTGTTGCTTATTATATATACATTAGACAAGAGATAATGATTAATTTATAATCTCTTATTATTGGTTTACTGCGAAACGTTTTTTGTAATTATTAATGTTGACAAAAAAATTCATGCACAGCGACATGCTTCTCAAAAAATCGGCATTGATCTTTCAAAATAATTTCTTAAAATCAAACTCGTGTTAGAAAATTTTTGGAAAAGTAACCTTCTATGTCAGAAATTCGAACTGTAAATTTACCACAACTTATGGTTACGATACTTAATCAGATCCGAAATGCTTACATTCAAATTTAACCTGTAATCTTTCAGAAGCATTACTCGACCAGTCAGATTCCTGGTTGGTAGCACTGCATTCGTAAAATCCCTCCAGTTCCCCTCGGCCAGGCGGGAGGAGAAGAGTACTTTCGATATATTTTCCTCTACTCCTCTGATACTCATAAATTCCTTTGGATCCGTTGACGACTTTTTCTCCATTCCTGTACCAGTGGACCAGCTGAGGGGTAGGCTGTCCCGAAAAACAGCACTTCATTTTCTTCTCCTTGTCTTTAAGAATAATGTCAGGCGTGGGAGAGGTACAGACAACTTTCACCGCTTCTAGGGGAGGGAAAATGCATCGAAAAACTGCTCAAAAATCTCTCCATGTTAATGCACGCACTCGAGAGCTGACATAAGTTAACCTTTATGATAATTTATTTAGCTAAGTTTCAGGAAAATGGATGTTATCAATACTGTTGCTAGCGTGTTCCAGACGTTCTATCAACAAAATGGTGCGAAATAGTAAACAGATCGATAGTATCGGCAGAGCGAAGACTGAGGGGGGTTTGGGTCGAGTTTTTCATCGCGCAATTAACCCGGTCCTCTAGCGTTTCTTCACTCTTCCGCTACTATCGCACCAGTGACTATCGCGCATCGTTTTATTAACTGAACGTCGGGAAGTGGTTATAGTATCACTCCATGTTTAGTCACACTTTATGACTATCGCGCATCGTTTTATTAACCGAACGTCGGGAAGTGGTTATAGTATCACTCCATGTTTAGTCACACTTTATGATAAAGTCAAAACTGATCGCAATTATAAAATAAAAAAAGCAAAAGATAACAGGATGACTTTAAGATGAGATCTTGATTGGATTTATCATTTCGAAGCAGCAATGATTGATAAATTATTGAAATTTGCCTTCCCCTCCCGCACAACATGGGTCCTTCTCACTAGCAGTTAATTAGCATAAATTTCCCATAGTCCTCCCTCATACTTTGTTGGCGACGACTGATCCATTCTTCGAGAACCATGCGATCCTCTCCGAAATCCTCCACTCCCCCCCACCCCGCGGTGATAAATAATAAGAATGAACAGACGAGCCACTGCTAATATCTATTCGCTTTCCGTCTTGTTCCCAACTCATACCTATTAGTTGTGTTCTTGAAATGGCCGAGCCATTGAGAGTTGTATTGAGGCCTGGGTCTACCTTCGTTGATACGGAGTCCTGCCAATTACCCTGAGATGAGAGACACGAGGACTTACATCTTGCAGATGACACACCTGTTAAGAAAAAAAACAGAAGAAATAGGACATAAATAGATATATGAACAGAATTAGGTGAGAACAAAACGAATTAATAAATATATATCAGAGTGAACGTTTATAGGGAACGAGACTAAATTGCTCTCTCGCTTTAAATTATTATCATTTTATGATATCCACGAATTCGCTCACTCAAAAAATTATGTGGATCACGCGTCTCTTGGAAATTTTGACCCGGATTCTAGATTTTTTTTTTTGAACTTCGGACCGAGGATCGCAGCGTTAGTCTCTGTTCGCCCTCGGTCGGTATACTGTTTCGACAAATTTGTTAACTGTTCAGCTTTTGGCATTTAGAGAAAGACTGGTAACCTTTTCTGACTTACAAGCTTGACAGCTTAGAAATTCAGTTTGAAAGTGCCTCAATTTTTTCACTGCCTTTTGCAGTACTTTCAAAGACAGAATTCTTACATGCGAACATTCGTATGCAGTTTACATGCAGCATTGGGATTTTCAAACTGGCCGAAATCCGAATATAAACGATCCAGCGGAACATCGGATTGACAGATTGGGATTAAATGTTGCTCACATCGGCGGAGGCATAGACCGGATGCAAATGTAGCGCATTACTCGGTCGGCCCGGGTTGAGTTGCATGATAGCGAGGCTGGCAAGGCCTTGGATTTTGTTGTGTGACCGCAGCTCTGGAGAGGTATTGCTTCGTTGTCAATCTATTCCGTTCTATTTCGTATGCTTCTGAGTTTTTGTGTTCCTGAAAGCCTTTAAAAGGAAACGAAATCTTTCACGGGAGAGTAGTCTGCCATATTTGGATCCGGTGTTTAGCCTCATTCAATATTAGAATGCAATTGATGTAGAGGGTGAGTCAAGTTTGACACCTCGAATTCGAAAACGGTTTAAGTCTTGACGAAAGTGGAAATACACAGCCACTCCATCCCGAGAGAGACTCTAATAGACTGCTGCTTTTTTGGATGACGAGAGAGTGAAATAATTTTGACAATATAAAGAAATAGTTATGAAAAGAATTTATAACAAGATCTAGACGGCATGAAAATATCTGCTCTAGCTAATTTCTTTTTTAGACGTTCGCCATTAACATCTCACGCTCATCTTTCGATTCTTGGCTAAATTAAGAATTGTGCTTCAGCTGCCTTTACTTTGAATGTACTTAGCTTGCTAATTAACATCCATGAGGAATTTTTCCTGCCCCAGGGGGAATATGTATTGCACTGGCAGAAATTTAATCCTAAATCCAGGAAAAAGTGAAGAGCAAGAATGAAGATAACCTCGCTCTCGAGCAAGCTAAGGCGTTTCAACGAAAGGGCGCTGAGCGATGAAACTGCAGTCACCTAATTCATTAAAATATATTCAGATTCAATTTCAGCACCTTATGGTTTTTGACTCAGCTATACAAAGGTTATCTGTAGTCACAACAGCAGTGCTGTGTATTAAAACTTAACAACTTGTTTTATGCACACACAGTATGGTTTTGACTTATTAGCTGAATGAAATTTATCCTTAGTCATAACAGTACAATTACTTGGGAACTACTTGTGTACACTTATAGAGGTCACACGTCTCCCGTTACCCCAATTTGCCAGCTGTTAATGATCTAAACAGCCAATATCTGCCGTTGGTTGTGGTTGGTTGAATTGAAACGTGGAGGGAGAACAGACCAAAAACCGAACTCATCAAAATTAAAAATCGCTTTATCACGCATCGTCAATATTTCATAACACGCGAAAAATGAGAATATTCATATCGTTAATATGTTTAGCATAAATAATACATTTTCTTTCAAACTTAAAAAAAATTGTTTCTTCTAAGAGACAAAACATTTCGCAATACTGTGCTCTAGAGTTTAGGGAACTAAGCTAATTTCGTACCCTTTTAATTGCAGCTGTTTTGTGAAAGAAAAACAGGTTTAATTTCAAGATAAAAACATTTTGAATTTGTTTTGTGGTCATTAGCCTTTAAATAAGCTCTTTTTTTTTCTTTTAGAAGAACACGTGACAGTGGTGTGGTATGGCATAAAGAAGACATATCTGAAGGTTTAGTGACGCTTACCTTCCCTCCCTTCGCTCGATTGAAATGTTTTAGCGTTAGTTTTCAGCCAAAAAAAATTAACGTTACGTTATTCACAATATGATTGAGATTCTTGTGAACAATGGTAATGTAAAACGGATCCTCTTAGAGTAAATTTCCCAACCTTAATATTTGCGTCATGTTATGCGAAAATTTCCAAGTAACAGGTTCCAATAAGTTTGCTTGCAAAATGAAATAGTTTTCTTATTCAGAGCGACTAGTTTTGTTGTTGTTGCTCTCCTGCAAAAGGAAGTACCCGTCATAAAAGAAACACGAAGTTCGTGGTCTTTGAAACTGGTGTTTCTAAGAAAAACGCGAAACGCCTGATAGCGCAATTATCCCCAGCTGTTTTTCGCCTTCGTGATCTTTGCCAAAAGACTTCCTCAGATAAGACACTTATCTGAATTTTCAGTACAGCAAGATCCCCAAAACTACATGTGGCAGCAATAAATTAGCTAACTTAACATACCTCGAATTTGTTGAAAGAACAAATAACACAGCCACAAGCGATTTAACAAACAAAGTTTGAGATATTTGTTGGGGTTCTGATGTTTCGCGCCCTCCATTCCATCTGCAGGCTAAATACTTGTGTTAATCGAGTAGGCCGTGACGTTTGTTTAAAAAGGAATTTCGTGAGTTTTGCCCACACCTCCTACGCTATTTTTTATTTGTTAATTGTAGTCTTCTTTTTGTATTATTTCATAACTAATTCAAAGCAATTAATAGGTTTCAAAGGGATTTTAAATAGGTTTTTAACATTAGCAAAAAAATGGTTGTTATTCAAGAATTATGATGCGGTTTATATATCCAATTTATTCTCGGCAAAGCATGTAAGCCTGTAACGCAATAAGTTATAAAGGCGATTATAACAAACCTTTTGGCAGTTATCCAGATCGTTCTTCACCAATAGAGTCAATTAGGAGATAATTTAGCACCTACTGACGCAAAGAAATAATTTATCTTCGATATAATTTGCATAAAATACCACGATAGCTTTAAGAAATCAACTGAAAGTAAATCTTGTTCCTTTCACCTAGTTTGCTTTGTTCTTTGCAACTTTCTTTCATTTTTTTTTCAGATTCAGTTCATCTAAAAAAGATTTGTAGGTGTGAACAAGCTTTGCACCTATCATGTGATGATTAGTCTTCGCGTTTGTTTTATGTAAATAAAGCTCTTCTTCTTCATGCTTTCAACCGAATCACACTTGTGTCACGTTTAGGACTCAGAATCAAACCGCAGTTAAAATTTAGTCTCGAGTCGGGAAAACGAGTAACCTAAAACTCCTCAAATCTCTGGATTAACTCCGCCTTACATCATCCAAAGTGAACTCGTGGCATAGATGATAAATATCGTATTTCTTTAATGTTTCCAAAATGTAACCAACTTCTCTCACATTAATTCTCATCACCTCTGTTGGTTTCACGCAGAGAGGAAGGCCCAGTTCAGACGTCGTGTCTCTGCCGTGCCGAAATTGCTTGCTATTAGGTCTGACTTTAGCACGGCGGGAACACGACTTTGACGCAGACATCTTGGTAGAGTGGTACGAAATTCAGAATTTATGGAGGTAAACTGATAATTCGTTCTCAATCCCGCCAAAAAGTCATAAGCATAATTTATAAATTTTGTTTGGCTCGGCGGAGGCACGACGCTTGAAGCACTGTAGCGCCAGAGTCGTGTGGCACGGTAGTGCTTGTCGAACTTAACTCAAAAGTTTGATTCAGACGCCGTGCTTCTGCCATGCTTTTTTCTAACTTAATTTCTGAACTAAGTTCGACACGTCAGGAGCACAAAGTGGGAACTGGGCCGAAGACAAAGCCTTTATGATCACTCGGTGGAATATGTTTAAAGAGAGAACTTATACATGTACATAGTTTTCGAGTGTTTGAGCTGGTTATTTTAGGGAAACCGAGATTCTAAATTTAAAAGAAGCGCAATCAAAGTGCGATGTAATTCATCCTGGGATAAACTCGCACGAAGGAACTTTGGAGAAATTCTGAGCTCGAAAAAAAGCAATCTTTCTTTGCTGTATTACTTAAAGATGTGAACCTGTAAATCCCCTGTTATTCATTACTACCAGCTAATCGAGCCGATCAACGAAGCGAAAAGCAGTAAATTAAAGACAAAATGAAAGAAGCAGGCGTTGTGGTTTTAAATTCTCCCATCTGACGTTAATAATAATGTATCACTAAGTGTGGGAGAGACTCTGTGGAAATTTCAGGATATTTGAGTGTTAATTACGGATGTATATCCGTAGGACTGAATTATAGAGACAAATTCGACATAAATTTTACGATGTAGACCTACAAATCGTCTGGCTGACTTTTAAACGTCGGAAATTAAAACTTGTTTTAATTTTCACTCCATAGTATTGTCCCAAAAACAATATTCGCCAGCTCTGCAGCCGCTTAAAGACAACATTTATCAAGCTTTACGCATAATAAATCGATTGGTGGAGTTAATATGTATACGTAGTTTAAATTACTTTTTGCCGCTTGGAAATTCAGATCGGTGTTCATTTTCGCCAAACTGTTTGGTGCAAAAACAAAACTGATCAGCTTCTACTTCACTACAATCAGAAACCAAACTTGAGATGAAAGGATCGGCTGTTGATGTTACAAGTTTGAACCAATCTTTGGCCGCTCGAAAATTTAGATAGGAAGCCATTTTCGCCAGACTGTTTTGGCAAATGTTATCAAATCGTATAAACTTCCGTCTGACTGACAACATTATCCATACTGAAATAAATACATCTGTGCACGAAATTATTTTTGTGACGCTCTACGTGAATATATGCGTATTTCTTGCACAAAAGAAATGGGATCTGGTCAGTGAATTGTGCCGAAACAGCTAACGAAAGTTTGGTTAATTGTAAGTTTAAATGCGTATAACACATTTAAATATTACCACTTACCTACCACGTTTCTACCCACTTGATAAATGTAACTGCGAATCGTCCTTCACTATTCCATTTTCACTACCATGTCAAGTTGTACGCTCTTTAGATCTACTAAAAAGTTTAAGTACTTGATGTTTTTTTTATGTGCCGAAACATGAAACATTCGAGAAGTTTTATTTTCGGATTATGTAAATAAGTACTTGAGAAATTTTAGATCATAAAAGCATCTAGGATCGATAAAAAATTGTAGCTTCAATTCAGCTTTTCTTTCAAGCAAGGGCATTTTAAGATGCGCTCACGAGTTATCCAACTGTTGAGTATTTTTTCAGCGTGTGAGAGCCCCCGCCATAGACAGAATGTGGCTATCTAACTTTCGTGAAAGTTCCAATTATTGTTAAGCGACCTCCCCTTGGAGAAAAGAGTTGAAACCTCACTATACAGAGCAAGAGAGTTGTCACGAATTCTACACTGAACAACAATTTTCCACATTTAACGAACTGAGCCAGTGCATGATCAACTGAACTTTTGCTCTGCCAAATTAGAAATCCAAAATAAATATTATGCTAGATTGTTAAAAAAAAGTCGATAGGCTAGAGGAATTTTCATCATCAGGGATTTTCACAACAAAAGCGGAAAAAATTTGGTTTAACTTTGTTACAACGTCTGGGTTTTTGCCACAGCACGTCTTCAGCCATTGTCAAACAAACTGTAACCAATTTATTTAGAACCATGACGGCGACGGCGGCGACAGCCTACAGAAATGAACGATTTCAAGAGCAGAACAGTAGCTCTTGCGTGCATTTTAAGATTTAGTATATTTTTAAGTAGTCCATGGAAAACAACAAGAAATCAACAAAATTTACGTCGCCTCGGGACAGGAAACTTGACAGCAAGTACTGCAAATTTCAACTTCAAACTAAAGGCCAAACACACATGTTGAGTAGATGAGAAGATCTGGCGCCGTTACAGTAGAAAGGCCCATCAAAGTAATCACAAATCCCTCAAGAGAAGTTGAAGTTCATATCTTAATCGCTTACCCAGACGTCGCCGTCGAGTCAGCGCAAACCCCCGTAATAATGCATGAACAATATGAGAATGAATACGTTTTGCGTTTGAAAGTAAGTAAGGCTATTGTTACGCTTGTGATAACCGTACTCCAATTGTCTCCGGAATTCCCGATCCCCGTTCTTTTCATGCTGAGCTCTTTTACACCAGGTGAAGGATGGCAAACAACTTAAAGCTCTATGTCGTGGAGAAGAGATAAACCGTTGGTAAGCTAGTTGACTTTCATTCAGGTAGATATGACTCTATGACACTGAACGAAACAACGGATTTCTTGTTTGTTTGCAATGTTCTCCTTTCTTTCCATTTGAATGGGAAATATCTTGTGTTTTGTAAATAGAATGAGAGATATACTAAGTTTTGAGCTCGGTAATGAAATAGAGAAAGGTATTTTTCGTCTTGTCACGAGCGTGGGACAAAGACAAAATTTTTTTCCGAAAAAATTCTGAGTCCTTATGAGAAATCGAAGCTAAGACCTTCGGGTTCCGCACTCCGATGCTCTAACCACTAAACTACAGAGACTCTACAATGAGCGAGGTCTATTACAAAGTTCATATGACACGTGTCCTGCATACTGCTAGGATCAGCAAAGTTGTGTTTTGTTGCCATAAATGACTCGACGAAACCATTTTGTCGTGTGTAGACGAATCAATTAATAGACAATAACGATATTGCATGCTAATCATCGTTCACAGAGCTTTAGGGAATAAAAATAAATAAATATTTTTGCATTTTTTCACGTGTGAGTTCTATAAGGAACATTATAACACTACGAACGTTTCACTTATACCTACGGAAGGAAATACCGGAATACAAAAATGGGAAAGCTAACTATATCTTCGTTAGAGGAAAGTATTTTAAGGCAAATTATTCAATTCCTCGCATATTGAGCAGACAAAGTTGAACATGCTTGAAAGACAGTCTATGCAAATAGATCTGAGTCGTTTAAAGAGTGTGTAAGGTCTTTTCAAATATTGATTAACCTTAAAATAAATTTATTTTTTCACCTGCTTTAGTACGTGCTCTAAACTTAGAGAGATTCTTGAGTGACAGAATATCTTGTGTTGCGGTGTATTTGCCTGAGCAAGAGAGAAATAATTACTTACGTTTCTGTGGCGTTTCAAGCCCTTTTTAAAAGTTGCAGCTTCACGCTTACCCCAGCTTTTGTTATGAATTAAAGAACACGCGAAGAAAACTAGCCTTGTAATGTTTACCAGGGCATGATTACTTTTTATTGAAATCATATTTCGTATTTTCCCGGTTCTCTCCTGACATTATCCAATACAATAGTCCTCTTGTCGTATTCAGGTCAGCGGACTATCAGGAAGGAGCTGGTTTAACGAGGTTCGAATTTGAAAGGCTTTCTATAGAAGCTACGTACTGAAGGACAACTAAGTGGCAAGGCGAAATATTTTTAAATAACTCCTCTTACTTCAAACGATTTCATTCTGTACACAACTTAAGATATAAATTATGCTTACTCTTGATATAGCCGATAAAATTCTACGCCAAAACAAAATGTTTAAGCTCATGAAAAATAATTTATTGATTGACCAATGGAAGAAAAGGAGATGAAAATTTTCCTAATGCTTTAACTAGTAAGGGTTACCCATGTA